CACACTACCTGGTGTTGTTAGAGTGTACCAGTTGTCCCCTAGTATTCATGGCCTTCCAGCTCAAGACTACATTTCCCAGCCTCCCCTGCAGCCAGTCTGACCATGTGACTGGAGTCCAGCCAATGGGATATGAGCAAAAGTGGCACATGCGACTTTGGGCTGTGCTCTTTAAAGAGAGTGTGTTTTACGCTTCTCTTCCTCACTTCCCGCTGCTGGAGCAGACCCCTTGGACCCCAGGAGGGAAGCCACACGTGGAGGCTGGCAGCACTGCTCTGCCAGCCCTGGACCATGGACCTCTGGATTATCATACGAGAGAGAAGTGAACTTTTATCTTGTTTAAGCCAATATATTTTGGGGTCTGTTATTTTGTATCGTAACTTCTTCATGTGGCAAACACAGGATTTGATAACTAGCCTAGATCTTGTGACGAGTTACTTGTAATTAGTGCAGCCGGTGCCATGATCAGTAGGGCATTGTGGTCAAAAGCCTTAGACCTGCCTTCAAATTCCTGTCCCTTCAGTTAGTAGATGTGTGATTCTGGACAAATTAATTAATCTCACTGCAGTAGGGTGATTTCAATAAGAAATGCCTTTTGACCTGGCACGGTGCCTCATGCCTGTAATCCTAGCACTTTGGGAGGCTGAGATAGGCAGATCATTTGAGGTCAGGGATTCGAGACCAGCCTGGCCAACATGGTGAAACCCCGACTCTACTAAAAATACAAAAATTAGCTGGACGTGGTGGCATGCTTGGGTGACAGAGTGAGACTCAGTCTCAAAAAAAAAAAAAAAAAAGAAAGAAAGAAAGAAAGAAATTCCTTTCACGTGGCTACCCAGTATCCACATGCATATGTAACTGAAACAAGTTTATGGAATAAAACAGCCATATTACCTGCAGTATGGTCTGATATTTTGTATTTGCATAGTTCTCAAAGTGAGGTACCTGAACCAGCAACATCAACATCACCTGAGAACTTGTTAGAAATCCATTTTCTTGGGCCCCATCCCAGACTTTTTGAATCAGAAACTCTGGTGTAGGGCCCAGCAATCTGTGTTTTAAGAAGACTTCTGGGTGATTCTGAAGCAGCTAAAGTTTGATAAGCACTGTTTTACTTTAATTTTAAAAATGCTAATTTAAAAAATACTGGTTATCACCTAATAAATTGACCTTATAATCCACTAATATGAGTCATGACTCATGTAGATGTAACTGATGCCTCTTTATCTGTTTTCTGGCAAGCGTTTATAGCTTCTTCTTCTTCAACTTCCCAAATTTTCACTAGGGAAACTACTCTTAGTTCATGGCTACAGGGATGGGGTCAAACCTTAGGCTCGGTCAACTGAAGCAGCAATTGGTTCAGGGATGACCATGTGATCCTTGTCATCCAATGACATGCAATCCTGAGACTTTTGCTGGAACTACCAAGGAGAAGCTCTTTCTCCTGGGGTTGCTAGGCTGCAGGAAGAAACCCTGGGGGTGCCCATGGTGCTGTTGCCAGCCCTCTGGAAGAGGCTGCCTGATGCTGCAAGCATCTCAGAGGAGGCGAGTTGAGGGATGTAGGAGAGAGTGCGAATGTTTTTGAGATCCTGCATTAGCTCCTTGTGCCTGAGCTCAGGTACAGCTGCAGTGGATAGTCCTGTGCACACTGGCAGGATCCACCTCAAGAGTTTCCTGAGCTGAGGAGCTCGCTAGCCTGAGCATGGGTGCAGCTCTGAAGTTCAGGGAAATTAATACCCTTGGGGACCACCCTCAACCAGTGCAGTGCAGAGCTGGAGGGTAAGTGCCCTTGGCTCCTGTTCTTCAGAAAGACATTTCTGGAGGCAGCATGCTTATCTCAATCTCCTACCACCTTCATTCCTGCAATCACCTCTCAAATAAACCACCTGCAAGCATCCCCTTGACTCAGGCCCTGCTCTCATGGAAACCCAGACTGAGACAGAAGGAGGCCTGTGACATTTGATGGATCCAACCATACCCAAAAGAAGCTCTACTCGTGAACTTTCCAGGAGTAGATTTTGAGTCCCCCAAAATCAACCCCCTTCTTTTTTTGCAATGTGTATTGGTTATCTATTACTGCGTAACAAATTATCCCCACACTGAATGGCTTTAAATAACAGCATTTATTAGCTCACAGTGTCTGTGGGTGAGAATCCAGGTGTGGCTTAGCTGGGTCCTCTGGCCTGGTTCCCCCATGAGATGGCAATGAAGGTGCCAGCTGAGGCTGCATTGTCTCAAAGTTTGCCTGGGAAAGGATCTGCTTCCAATATCCCTTCTGTTGGCAGAATTCAGTTCCTCGTGGGTTGTTGGATTGAGGTCCTCAACCTTTTGCTCTCTGCTGGCCAAAAGCCAACCTCAGTTCCTTGCCACATGGGCCTCCAAAGAGAGCAGCTCATACCATGGCAGTGGCTTCCAGCAGAGCAGGCAGAGAGGGAACAAGAGAGGGCTAGTGAGCAATAAGGAAGCCAAAGGCTTTAGAAACCCAATTTTTAAATGGTATCTCAACATGTTTGTTGTATTCTGTTCCTTAGAAGCAAGTCTGTAGGTCCAATGCACACTGATGGGGAGACCAGTACACAGGACCATGGATACCAGGAGGTGATGACCATTGGCTGCCTAAGATAGACTGTAAGAATTACGAACTCCCAGTTCCAGGGCACAAAGCCAGAAGGGCCGTGAGCATCAGAACGGAAGCCTGGATGCCCAAATCAGCCTCATCTCTGTCCCAGGGTAAGGAGAACTGACAGGCATCTTGGGGACCCTGCAGGGGTGAGGAGCCTGCAAAGGTCTCGGTGGGCAGGAGGTGGGAGGGAGATGGAAATGGAGGGCGGGGTTCCCCATTATTACCTTGGCAAACTCTGTAGAAGATCATTGCTGTTCCTGTCATCGAGACCATTCTTTGTGGTTGGTTTTCACTGTGCTATCACGGTGCAAGCTAACCTTTGTTTAATGTTTATTTTTTGTCCAACTCTGGGCTAAGAACTTCACTTACCTGATTTCATTTAATCTTCCCTCTCTGAGGTCAGACCTGGGGGCATTTTCAGGATGAGGAAGCTTAGGTGCAGAGAGGTTGAGTAATTTGCCTAAGGACACACAGCTATTAAATGATGTCACTGCAATTCATCAGAGACTGAGTCCTTATCTGCCAGGAAATCAAAACCATCTCAGCTCAGTGAATGTATTCAGGGAGGCTTGAACATGTTCATTCACTCACTGTTTTAATCCCTGTACCCTTTCATACAAAGCCTTAAGTTCCTCACCCTAATGTGTTCTTGGTACTGAGTTTTCATCACTGCCAGCATTTATAAACCTCCTTTGGGTCACGGAGGCATTGGAGAAAGCATTATTATTATTATTTTTGAGACAGAGTCTCACTCTGTTGCCCAGGCTGGAGTGCAGTGGCGTGATCTCTGCTCACTGCAGCCTCCGCCTCCTGGGTTCAAGTGATTCTCCTGCCTCAGCCTCCTAAACAGCTGGGACTACAGGCACCCACCACAATGCCTGGCTAATTTTTGTATTTTTAGTAGAGATGGGGTTTCACCATGTTGGCGAGGCTGGTCTTGAACTCCTGACCTCAAATGATCCACCCACCTCAGCCTCCCAAAGTGCTGGGGTTATAGGCTTGAGCCAACATGCCCAGTCAACACATTCCTTTTCCTCCAAAATATGCACCCATGTGTTCAAACCCACGTTTGGCACATGATTTGAGGAGGCAACCGACTTCCTGCAGGGCCCCAGGATGGACGCTCATTGGCTCAGCTTGGGTCATGCACCCACTCTGGAACCAATCACGGCAGCCTAAGGGATTTGGTGCTCTGGCTGGCCAGATCTTTAGGGATCGTGGCATCGCAGTCTTTCACTTTACAGTTTGAGGAACTGAAGACTAGAGGAGACGAGTGACTTGCTCAAGGTTATACAGCCTTGGTGGGCCCAGGTCAGACTCAAGCAGTAAGGTGTGGCTGTCTGTCAGCCTGCAGATTCCTCCCAAGCTGGGGTGTGTCTGATTTATTGATGTATTCCCAGCCACTTGCTGTGGGCCTGACACACAGTAGGCATTTCATCGTGCTGAAAAACCCCCCTGAAGGGGACTGAGAGTGAATCTATGGAAGTTACCGATAGTGTTTGCCCAAGTGACACCTTGAAATCTCACCCTGCAGGGGGTTAACAGATACTCCATAAAAAAGGGAGGGCTCCATGAGGAAGTAAGCTGGTGAAACACTGGACAAGGTGAACTGGTTTCTCTGCATTAGAACTTCTCAGGATTCTTTATGAGCTCAGTGCAATAAGTCCTTCGAAAGGAAGATATAACTATGTCGCATTTTCCAAGGTTGTTTGACCATAGACTCCTTTTTTTAAAATGGGATTTTTGAAGGATTAGCGTTCAGAGAAACTTGCTTTGGAAGGTAGGGGGGTCAGAGAAGGCTTCCTGGAGGAGGTGGCACCTCCGCTAGGTTCAAGGATAGGGGGACTGGGAGAAACAGATGAGAGCAATGAAGGCATCCCAAAGGAATCACTGGAGAAAGCAGTAAATATTTTAAAGTTGAGGTCCTCAACTTTATATCACATATATGTGGAAAGAAAGACTTATACAGGTCAGGATCCCACTGGATACAAACATCAGAAATGCAGTTCAGACTGACTTAGGCAAAAAGGGGAATTTATTGTTCCATGTAACTGATTTCAGGTGTGGCTGGATCCAGGTGCTTGAGTCATACCCTCAGGGAGAAGTATCGGCTTTGTCCTCAAGCACTCTTTCTTCCGAGGTCCCCCACCACCATCTCCAGGCTCACATGCTGCTAACTAGCAACGCCTGCCAGAAGTGAGATGCTTTTATGCAATAGTTTCAACCAAGAGCCCCAGGAGGGGTGCTCATTGGCTTAACTTGGGTCACACACCCACCTTGGTACCAGTTATTGCAATCTAGGGGATTTGGTGCTCTGATTGGCCAGAGCCTTAGGCATCATTGCATGCCATTCTCTCATTTGACAGATGGAGAAACTGGAGCCCAGAGGAGAAGAGAGAGTCGCTCAAGGTCACACAGTGAGTGAGTGGCACAGTGAAGGCAGGAACTTCCAGTTCTGGGGCTCTTGCTGCTGCAGGTGGTGCCTAAGGGCAAGTTAGACCAGCGTGGGCTGCGCAGAACGCCCACGGGTGTCTTTGAGTTGGGAGCTGTGGTGCAGCCCTGCCTAGAGAACTCTGTGGGAGATGAGGCTGGAAAGGACGAAAGTTTCATGACTTTAAAGGACCAGACAGGCTGCAGAACAGCTCCCTGACTGAGTTGGCCCTGAACACTCATGGGGTTGGCTATGGTCAGGGAAGATAAAGGGAGCAGACCAGAGGCAGAGAGGGGGACGGGCTCCATGGTTTCCCAGGGGGATGGGTATGGCAGGGAATTATATAAGGGAAGATCTGTCAAATGGGGGTCCATTTGAGGTCTGGGGTGTCCAGCAAATTCTTCCTTCTCCCTGAGTTTCTACATTCAAGCTGTTATTAGACCTCTTGGTACTACCTTCTGATTGTGTAGAAACCATCTGCTTCTCTCTGGTTCAGCTGACCCCATCCTAATCCCAGTCACTGTCATCTCATGTCCATGCCTGACTCCTGGCAACAGTGTCTCAAATGGTGTCTGCACGTCCATTCTTGCTCTCCAACCTCAGCCTTGATCCAGTCTCTGCATAGCAACCTGAGTGTTTTTTTTTTTCTTTTACATGGAATCTCGCTCTGTCCCCTAGGCTGCAGTGCAATGGTGCGATCTTGGCTCACTGCAACCTCTGCCTCGTGGGTTCAAACGATTCTCCTGCCTCAGCCCCAAGTAACGGGGATTATAAGCATGTGCCACCACCCCCTGGCTAATTTTTTTGTACTTCTAGTAGAGATGGGGTTTCACCATTTTGGCCAGGCTGGTCTCAAACTCCTGACCTCAGGTGATCTGCCCGCCTCAGCCTCCCAAAGTGCTGGGAGTCCAGGCGTGAGCCACCGCGCCCGGCCTGGATGCTCTTTTAAAAACCCAAATCAGCTGTCCTCGGTAAAATGTTTACTGACTCTCCATAGCCTTCAAGATAAAATGCAAACTGTGGCTCCTCAGCACCTCTCTATGGGCAATCTCCCTACCGCACTCCAGGCACACAGGTTTCTCCTTTCAACTCCTTATTACCTCTGAGCCTAGCCTTTGCACATCACATGCTATTCCATCTGCCTGGAACACTTTTGCCTCTTCACCTAGCTAAATCCTGATATTCCCTCAAATTTCAGCTCAATGTCCCTTCCTGTCCTTTAAGAAATCTTTTTTAGTACCTTCTTAAGACTGGACTGGGTCACCTGCTACCTGACAGCACCACCTCCCTGGGAGTTGAGGAGATGAGGAAGCTGAGATGCAAAGAAGGAAGAGACTCTTCCAAAGTCACATGGCTAGTAAATGGCAGAGCTGGATTAAATTCAGCTCGACAAATGCGTATGGTGCACTTACTATAGGCCAGGCCCTGTACCAGACCCTGTGGTTACAATGACAAATCAGACCAAGTGCCCTGCCCCAGAGGAGTTCTCAGACTGGCAGAGGAGACAGACTGGAAAAAGGGACGAGGACGGGGCCTGAGGAACTCAGGACATAATCTCAGTATATTAGTCCATTTTTACACTGCTATAAAGAAATGCCCGAGACTGGGTAATTTATAAGGAAAAGAGGTTCTGCAGGCTGTACAGGAAGCAGAGCAGGCTTCTGCCTCTGGGGAGGCTTCAGGAAACTTACAATTATGGTGGAAAGCGAAGGGGGAGCAGGCATTTCTTATGGTTGGAGCAGGAGGAAGATAGAGAGAGGGGAGGTGTCACATTTTTTCTTTCTCTTTCTTTCTTTCTTTCTTTCTTTCTTTCTTTCTTTCTTTCTTTCTTTCTTTCTTTCTCTCTTTCTCTCTTTCTCTCTTTCTCTCTTTCTCTCTTTCCCTCTCTCTCTCTTTCTTTCTTTCTTTTTTGTTTTTAGATGGAGTTTCACTCTTGTTGCCCAGGCTGGAGTGCATTGGTGCATTCTCGGCTCACTGCAACCTCTGCTTCCCAGGTTCAAGTGATTCTGCTGCCTCAGCCTCCTGAGTAGCTGGGATTACAGGCATGTGCCACCAAACCCGGCTAATTTTTGTATTTTTAGTAGAGACGGGGTTTCTCCATGTTGGTCAGGCTGGTCTCGAACTCCTGACCTCAGGTGATCTGCCCACCTCAGCCTCCCAAGGTGCTGGGATTACAGGCATGAGCCACTGTGCCCAGCTGACTGTGCCACACACATTGAAACGACCAGATCTCGTGAGAACTCTTATCACGAGAACAGCACCAAAGGGATGGTGCTACACCATTCATGAAGGACCCACCCTCATGATCCAGTCACCTCCCACCAGGCTCTACCTCCAACACTGGGAATTACAATTGAACATGAGATTTGGGTGGGGACACAGATGCAAACCATATCACTCGGGGAGGCAGGGAAAGCTCCAGGAGGGGGCGAAGTCTGCACTGAGACTTGGTGAAAAGATGTCCAAGCACGTGTGTGACAATTCATTTATGAATTGAATGAATGAATGAATATGCACATTTGCATCTTTGGGGATGTAGATCTCAGGGGTGTTTGAGTGAACTGATATCTACTTGTGTGCATATGAGTGTCATTTTGCACACAAAAATATGCTATGTGTATAGACATGCATGTAAACAGGTGCATTGATGTGAGTGTACGTATGCGAGTCCAAAAACGGATTTGCATTGTATATCCAAATATATAGAGGTAGTGGAATGAGTCTGCCTGTTCAACTTTTGCCTGTCACTTACACGTTCTGGGCAAGTTAACCTCTTGGTCAGTTTCATTATTAAGTAAGGAAAATGGTAGTATCTCCCTGTCTTAGGTTGGGTTGCTGGGAAGCAGGGCCCGAGACAAGCATTCTTACTCAAGCAATTTATTGTGGGAGAAACTGCAAGCCAGTGTGGGAAATAGGATAGAGCTGGAGGAAAAGCTCAAAGCTGAGATGTGGGGTCAGCCGGTGTCTGGTCTCAGCCTGATGCCACGGGGAGCTCTGAATCATAAATGGCTTCGCAGAGGTGGCCCACCATAAGAGGAGGAGGCCAGCCCTTGCCAGCCATTAATTGGCCGTGTGTTCCTAGCCCTCACCTGGAGGAAGAAGTAGCTCCTAGGCATTTCCAGAGAAGGGCATGGGAGCACCAAGGCCTTTACTAGGCCACACTCTTGCTGCCCTTGTTTGTCAAATGAGTCCTCAGAGACAGTAGTATCAGTCTCCCCTGGAAACTTGTTAGAAATGTCGGTCAGGGATTGTGGCTCATGCCGATAATCCTAGAATTTTGGGAGGCCGAGCTGGGCAGATTACCTGAGGTCAGGAGATTGAGACCACCCTGGCCAACATGGTGAAACTCCATCTCTACTGAAAATACAAAAGTTAGCTGGGCGTGATGGCATACACCTGTAATCCCAGCTACTCAGGAGGCTCAGGCAGAATTGCTTGAGCCTGGGAGGTAGAGGTTGCAGTGAGCCGAGATTGCACCACAGCACCTTAGCCTGGCCGACAGAGAGAGACTTTGTCTCAAAACGAAAAAAAATAGAAAGAAAGAAATGCAGAGTCACAGACCTTCCCCCAGATCTGCTGATTCAGACCCTGTACTCCAGCATGATCCCCAGGCCCAGGCACCTTAACACTGGAGAAGCCCTGTGTTAAACCACTCACAGGCTTGCTGTGAGGATGAAGGCATATACAGCACTCAGAGCAGCATCTGGCCCACAGCGGGTGCTATTATTATTATTTGCATCTAGGAGTGTTGTGCATGCTTGCTCACCCAGATACTTAATATGCATAAGTAAACGCGTGCAAGGAGGATCAGCTGGAAAATTTGCAGGATCCATTGCAAAATGAAAATGTGGGCTTCTTGTTCAAAAATTAGAAAGCAGAGTCTTCAACCAAGAAGGGACCCTTCTGAGCTGGAGGCTCTGGTGACCAGAAGATTTCTTTTCTGCGGTGACTTGGCCTCTCCTTATGGCTTTACAGGTGAGAAAACCTGGAGGAAGGGTGCCAGAGCTGAGTGTTGGACTCAGGTCTCCTGTCTCCAAGGGGCCCTGTCCCCACCCCACTCAGACATGCACGCTTACTTCCCGGCCCTGCATGCCTGCCTTAGTGCCGACTTTGGGGAATCGTTGAGAATTCGAAGCTGAGAAATGTTCTCTTGTATTTGCACATTACAAAGAGACATCTGAGCATGTTCCCCCCATGAATCGTGAGTATCCATTCCCAGGGAGCTCTAACTGCTCGGGAGAAGGGGTGTGAAATTTAATTTGCACTAATTATCCCGAAGTGAGAGGAGCGGGGAATGAGCTGGCTCTGCACATTCGGCCTCTTCCAGCGGCTCCCTGTTCCCCAGGTTGCAGTTTATTTATGTGAAAGGGGTGGGGGTGGGGTGGGGGGTGCTGTTTCTATGGCAACCGCAGCTGCTGGGATTTTGGGGTGGCTGGAAAGGGAGGGAGAAGGGAAAGGCTGGGCAGAGCTGGGCAGTGTGTGTCCTTGTGGTTGTAGGGGGGCATCTGGAAGCCCCGACTGGCTCTGATGGGTGAGAGGAGGTGGGGAGGAGACGGACGGAGCTCTTCCCAGCCCCTTTTCAGCTGGGAGAGGGCTTTGGCCAGGAGATGGACTGTCCGAATCAGCAATTCCCTGGAACAGGGATGTCCCTCTCAGGTCCCCAGGGCTAGGCCAGCTGGAGGGCAGAAACCCAGGATGGCAGCTGGCAGAGGGAGCACCAGAGAGGAGAAGGGACTTCAGGGCCCAGGACGAAGTGTCCCACTTGCCTCCTCTTGCTCCTCTCCCCCTCCCTTTCTCAGTTCCACCTTTCTCTTCCCATCTCTTATCCTCTCTCTCCTTCCTCACCTCCTCCCTCCTGCAACCTTCCTTCCCCTTTCCCCTTCCTCGCCCTCCCCACAGACTCTTCCTGCCACCACTAGAGGGCGCTGGGGCGCCACAGTCGCCCTGGGAGGGATTTAGCAGCCTAAGACCCTCCATGGGCACCTCGTTGGGGTTGGGTGGGCAGAAGGAGGAGGCCCCACAGCACCTGAGTCCTCTGCAGAGCCGACTGATTCTAGCCTGTTTGGAGCCTGGGACAGGTCTGGGCTGTGCCCAAGGACTGAGGATAGGTGGCACAGTGACCTTCCCCTAGCAGCCTTCAGGGGAAGGCGTTTTGATGGGGAGGGTGCTTATGTGGGACCTGAATTCGCATCCCAACCCTCACACCTAGTGTGACCTGGAGCAGGTCACCTCACCACTCCAAGCTTGTTTTCTCTTCTGTGAAAGGGGGGTAACCACTCCCTGCTCAGAGGCTGTGGTGAGGACTGGATGGAATCGCATACAGGAACTGATCGCAACACTCAAGGCGGGGAGCGTTCCTTGGCCTTAAAAGTGAATCACTCAGTCAACAAATGTTTAGTGGGCACCTCCAATGTGCTAGGGGCTCTGCTAGGCACTGGGGATGGCGGGGATCAAGGTGGAGCAGGGCTTAGCATCATGGATCTTTCAACCTAACAGGGATGAAATTATTATATAAAAGGCAAAAGTCATTTAGAAATTAATAGCAAATTCTTGTTTTTGAGGTGGAGTCTTGCTGTGTCACCCAAGCTAGAGTGCAGTAGCATGATCGCGGCTCACTGCAACCTCAAACTCCCAGGCTGAAGCCATCCTCCCACCTCAGCCTCCCGCGTAACTGAGATGACGGGCTCACACCACCATGTCCAACTAATTTTCTATGTTAGTTAGAGATGGGGTCTCACTATGTTGCCTAGGCTGGTCTTGAACTCCTGGGCTTAAGCAGTCCTCCCACCTTGGCCTCCTAAAGTGCGGAGATTATAGACATGAGCCACTTTGCCTGGCCTGTCAATTCTTCAGTAGTTGCAAATATGTGGACTGTGTTACAAAAGAGAAGTTCTGGGCACAGACCAGGGGATCGCCTGGGTCTCATATTTAAGCTGCCCTGAAGGGTGAGTAGGTTCCTTCTTTCCCGTGAGAGAGGCAAGAAGGAAGGGCTTCCAGGCTGAAGGAAGGGCAGGTGCAAAGCCAGGGTGGAGGGAGGGAGAACAAGATGGATCCCAGGCCCCAGGGGTTTGGTGGAGGGTTGAGAGAGAAGGAACAGAGAGTGAGATAAACTGGGGAGTGCTCAGGTAAGGGCCAGGCTGCCTGGAGGATATGGGAGCATATATGGCTCTGGAGCTGTGGCACTGCAAAGTGGAAGGCCCAGCTGCCTTTTTGTGACAGACGGAGGAGGCGTTTTCAAAGTGATGACAACGTTTCTGAACAGGAAAGTGGGTCTCTTCTTCTTCCCCAACAGTCTTAGAGCATCTAAAAATAAAGCAGGCATCAAGAGAGCATCCCAGCAGTGCCATCACAACACAGGGCTCGAATGTGAACAGGAGGAGGACCTAAGTGGACCCGGAGGCTGAGCTGGCCTTGCAGCCCTGGTGGTGGGGGAGGGCTGACGCTCAGAACTCTGGGTCTTTGGCACTGCTGCCTAGGCTGTGGCCCGAGGCCTCAGTCTGCCCATCTGTGAAATGATGGGGAGCTGGTCCTGACTGCCTCCCAGGGACCCCATGAAAAGCCGCTCTGAACTCCTTGCCAGAGAGGAGGTTTGCTGGTGCCACAGTCCAGGTTTGTGGGTTTCCCTATCAAGCTGGTCTTTCTGTAACAATAGGCAGGGAGACAAAGGATTTCGGAGCCCCTACTATGATGTAAACCCTGTGCTGGGTGGGGTAGGGGTTCAGAAGCAGAAGTTGGGTTTTCAGCATCAGAGAGCTCTAGTGGAGAGACAAGATTTGTGCATGAAATAATTACGACTGTTGTAGAAAAAAGAAAAACCTGTAGGTCTCCCTCCCTCCCTCCTTCTCTCTGTCTATCTCAGCATTTCCGGGGCTCACACTGCTCTGGGTACTGTGTGAAGGACTCCACAGTCATCAGCTTCTCTTCATCCTTGCCACATCTTTGAAAGGTGAGTATTTTGAAAACTGTATTTATTTTTCTTTATTTTTATAGAGACAGGGTCTTGCTGTGTTGGCCAGGCTGGTCTCAAACTCCCATCTCAGCCTCCCAAAGTGTTGGGATTACAGGTGTGAGCCACCAGACCCAGCCCGGAAGGTGAGTATTCTTATCCCCACTTTACAGATGAAAAAACTGAGGTTCAGAAGAGTTGAGTGACTATCCCAAGGTCATGTAGTTACTAAATGTCAGATCTAGAATTAGATAGACCCCAAGTCTGCCTATCTGAGTTCAAACCTAATGATATATGTGAATCCACGACTGCCTTTCCCAGCGGTCGTCGAGGTACTTGTGTGTTGTGGAAAGAGAGTGGAAGAGGGAGAGGGAGAGGGATTCTAAGATTCTTTTAAGATATAAAGACTGGGGCCGGGCATGGTGGTGGCTCACGCCTGTAATCCCAGCACTTTGGGAGGCTGAGGCGGGTGGATCACGAGGTCAGGAGATTGAGACCATCCTGGCTAACACGGTGAAACCTCGTCTCTACTAAAAATAGAAAAAATTAGCCGGGCGCAGTGGCGGGCGCCTGTAGTGCCAGCTACTTGGGATGCTGAGGCAGGAGAATGGCGTGAACCCGGGAGGCCGAGCTTGCAGTGAACCGAGATTGCGCCACTGCACTCCAGTCTGGGCGACAGAGTGAGACTCCATCTTAAAAAAAAAAAAAAAGAAACACTTGGGGGAAGTGAGGGCCCAACAGTCACTCTTTTTTTTTTTCTTTGAGATGGAGTCCCACTCTGTCACCTAGGCTGGAGTGCAGTGGCATGACCTCGGCTCACTGCAACTTCTGCCTTCTGGATTCAAGCGATTCTCCTGCCTCAGCCCCTTTGAGTAGCTGGGATTACAAGGGCCCACCACTGCGCCCAGCTAATTTTTTTTTTTTTTTTTTTTTTGAGACAGAATCTCACTCTGTCGCCCAGGCTGGAGTGCAGTGGCACAATCTCAGCTCACTGCAACTTCTGCCTTCCAGGTTCAAGCAATTCTCTTGCCTCAACCTCCTGAGTAGCTGAGATTACAGGGGTGTGCCATCACACCTGGCTAATATTTGCATTTTTAGTAGAGACAGGTTTCACCATGTTGGCCAGGCCGGTCTCAAACTACTGACCTCAAGTGATCCACCCGCCTCGGCCTCCCAAAGCGCTGGGATTACAGGCGTGAGCCACCAGTGGTCATTCTTTAATGCTAATTTGTAGTTTTCCTGGTGCTGAGCTTGGGTATATAAGGAGAAAGTAATGAGGAGACTTGTGTGACTACGAAGGGAACAGGGGGTGTCCAGGTCGGGGGTGTGGCAGTGAACGGTGGAGGGCACTGGCACTAACAGGAGGAGGAGGCAGGGAAGGCAGCATGCAGAACGCTTTGGCTGCAGAGTCGGCTGGGTGGCGAATTCGCTCCCTGTGTGACCCCGAGCAACTCCTTTCTGTTTGAGGTTTTCATCTCCCATCTGTGCGGTAAGAATAGTGGACTAGACAGTGGCTAAGGTCCCTTCCAGATTAAAAAGTCACTGCTGAATCTCACCTGAGATTTGATGTGGGGCAGCCCTAACTGGCATCAGAGGTCCAAGGGTAGTCTCGAAGTCTCATTCTACATCTGGGTGGCCCCAAACGCAGAGGAGCAGTGACGGACGATGCCCTCTAGCGATGTGGAACTCTGCAGGGCTGGACCAGCCTGTTTTGAGCCACTGCCTGCAGCTCCTGTGGAGCCTGTGGAGTCATTTCTCCAAGTTAGAGCCTTTATTGTCTCGTGATTAATTTGGGCTTCTCACTATGACTCACATCCTGGAATGAGCTGAGCTCAAACATGGCTTCCATTGCTCAGAGAAGGGGCTCCCCTTTCTCAAGTCCCTTCCCTGCCTCCTCTGCACTGGAAAGCTCTGTAGTGAACAGAGTGCTGGACTGGGGGACGGCCAGACTTGGGATCTTAACCTGGCTCTTTTTAGCTTTGTGGCTCCAGGCAAGCTGCTAAACCTCCATGAGCCTCGGTTTCCTCATCTATAGCATGGGGATCAATCCGACTGCCTCCCAGGGTCCTTGAGATGATTACAAGAGGATGTCTGTGGAGGTGCCTGGTACACAGTAGGTGTTCACTGAAGGCCAGTGGATTTTGGATCAGTTGACAGTTTCTCCAGTAATGGGCCTGTTTCCTCTAGACCACTGTGTACTCTGAATAATTCTCCTTTAAGACAGAGACCCAGATTTTCAAGGCAGTGGGCAGGATCAGGCAAGATCTGCCGCCTTGGAATAACCCCACAGCCCCACCTGTTCCCTCTCTTTGGGGCCACAACCTGGCTGGCCCTTGGTTGAATGTACAAGCTTTCAGTTCTGCAAGAGCAAATTTAAGGTACCTGGCCAGCTACTCTCCTTACAGCTTCCAAGCTCTGCGATGGGGTGACTCAGGACCTGAGACTAAAGGTTTTATTTATAAATCCAAAAGTTTAAATTATAATCAAAAAGTCATACACACACACAGTTTAAATAATAGCACAGTTCTACAAGGTCTATTACAAAATTAACTCACTCCCATTTCCCCCACTCCTTTTAGCTGATTATTTTGACATTTATATTCACGTTTCTAAATAGCATGCTTGTTTCACTACTTCTTGAATTTTCTTTATTATTATTATTTTTTTTGGTTAACTAATTGACTTATTTTGCATCAGCTTTATTGAGATATAATTGACATATCATACAATTCACACATTTAACAGGTACAATTCAGTGGGTGTTAGTATATCCACAGAGTTATTTAACCATTACTACATCAATTTTAAAGCATTTTCATCACCTCCGAAAGAAAGCCTGTTCCCTTTAGCTATTATCTCCTGCCTTTGTCCCCATCCCTTGGCACCTGCTAATCTACTTTCTGTCTCTATGGATTTGCCTATTCTGGACATTTAACGTAAATGGATCATATAGTACATGGTCTTTTGTGACTGGCTGCTTTCACTTAGCATAGTTTTCTCAAGGGTTATCTAAGTTATAGCACATATTAGTTTCTTATTCCTTTTCATGGCTGAATAATATTTCATTGTCTAGATATACCACCATTTGTTTATCCATTCATCAGTTGATGGACGTTTGGGTAGTTTCTACCTTTTGGTTAGTATGAATGATGCTGCTGTGAACATTTGTGTGCAAGTTTTTGTGTGGACATATGCTTTTGTTTTTCTTGGATATGCTGGATTATGGGGGTAACTTTATGTTTAACCTTTTGAGAAACTCCCAGGCCATTTTCTACAATGGCTGCACCATTTTCCATCCCCACCAGCAATATATGAGGATTCCATTTTCTCCACATCGTTACCAACAGTGAAGTTATTCTCTGACTTTTCAGTTATAGCCATCCTAGTGAGTGTGAAGTGGTATCTAATGTGGTTTTGATTTGATGGCTAATGATGCTGATTATATTTTCATGTATTTTTAGCCACAGGTAAATCTTCTTTGGAGAACAGTCTATTCAGATCCTTTGCCCATTTTTAATTTGGATTATTTGACTTTTTATTATGAGTTGTAAGAGTTCCTTCTTTTTTTTTTTTTTTTTTTTTTTTTGAGGCGGAGTCTCGCTCTGCCGCCCAGGTTGGAGTGCCGTGGCCGGATCTCAGCTCACTGCAAGCTCCGCCTCCCGGGTTCACGCCATTCTCCGGCCTCAGCCTCCCGGAGGCTGGGACTACAGGCGCCCGCCACCTCGCCCGGCTAGTTTTTTGTATTTTTTAGTAGAGACGGGGTTTCACCGTGTTAGCCAGGATGGTCTCGATCTCCTGACCTCGTGATCCGCCCGTCTCGGCCTCCCAAAGTGCTGGGATTACAGGCTTGAGCCACCGCGCCCGGCCAAGAGTTCCTTCTATACCCAAGTCCCCTGTCAGACATATGGTTTGCAAACATTTTCTCCCATTTTGTGGGTTTTCTTTTCACTATCTTGATTGTATCTTTGGAAGCCCAAAAGTTTTAAATTTTGATGAAGTTCAACTTATCTATTTTTTTTCTTTTGTTGCTTGTGCTTTTGGTGTTACATACAAGAACCCATGGCCAAATCCAAGGTCATGAAGATTTATCGCTCTGTTTTCTTCTAAGAGTTTTATAATTTTGGCTCTTACATTTATTATCTTTGATCCATTTTGAGTTAACTTTTTGTGTATGGTGTAAGGTATGGGTCAAACATCATCTTTTGCATGAGGCTATCCAGTTACCCCAGCATCATTTATGGATGAGACTGTTCTTTCTCCCTTGAATGGTCTTGGCATCCTTGTCAAAAATCAATTGACCATAGCTGTATGACTTTATTTCTGGACACTTAATTCTATTCCATTGACCTATGTGTCTATCCTTATGCTAGTACTACACTGTTTTGACTTCTATACCTTTGTATTAAGTTTTAAAACTGGGAAATGTGGTTTCTCCAATTTTGTTTTTCTTTTTCGAGATTGTTTTTACTATTTGGTGTTCCTTGTAATTATATATAAATTTTGGGATTGGAATTTTCATTTCTCTAAAAAATGCCATTGGGATTGCATTGATAGGCATTGCATTGAGTCTATAGGTCAGTGTAAGGAGTATGCTTATATTAACTATATAAGTTTGACAATCCATGAACATAGGACATCTTTTGATTTATTTAGGTCCTTTTTTTTTTTTGACACAGTCTCACTTTGTTATTCAGGTTGGAGTGCAGTGGTGCAATCACAGCTCACTGCAGGCTTGACTTCCCAGGCTCAAGTGGTTCTCCTACCTCAGCTTCCAGAGTAGCAGAGACTACAGGCACGCACCACTATGTTGGCTATATTTTTGTGTTTTTTACATAGAGGTGGGGTTTCACCATGTTGCCCAGGCTGGTCTTGTACTCCTAGGCTCAAGTGTTCCACCTGCCTTTGCCTCCCAAAATGCTGGGATTACAGGTGCGTGCCACTGTGCCTGGCCTATTTAGGTCTTATTTAGTTTTTGTCAACAACATTTTGCACTTTTTAAA